TTTTACTTATATAACAAAGCAAAAATGGCTGTCATTGTGGTTAAAGCGTTGAAATTCCATACTAGTGACCCATGTTCAAATCTTAGTCACCTATCGGAATCGAACTTGTAACCTTCAAAAAATCCATGACTCTCCCAACTAACTTATCCCTCTATTAGCAAAATTTAGCTTTTTCTGCCTTTTGAAGTTTTGGCTTGATTTTAATTGAAAATAGTCAAAACGATTTTTTTAGCGTTTTCCGTTTTCTTTGTAAATTTTAAAATCGTTTTTGGAAATTTGTTTCTGAAAATAGGTAAGTAAACGTGTTTTCAGTATTTTTGAATATTGAAAACTAAAAATGACTTCAAAACAGCAAAAAGAACAGACCATTAGCGTCTCATAGATTTTCTTTTTACCGAGTTGGCTTGGAAGATGTATAATTGTACTGAAGCTGGCAGCTAAAGAAGTCTCTTCTTAAGTTATAAAATGAGATTTCAGTTTGAGCTTCTTTTTTCTTTTACACATTCATGTACGTAAATAGAAACTGGGATGGATTGCCAAAATTACTTCAAAAGACCTAAACAAAATGCAAGATTACACGTGCATAATGGCAAAATAGATTCTCTTCGTCTAGTTGGATTCAATATTGAAAGTTTGGGGACTTTTAAGAAAAAGTTAAACGCTGGCTAATAGATTTACTCAATTTATTGTATCACACATTTGTATCAATTTTGATCTACATTCCATTGTGATTGCATTGTACTTGTAAACACAATGTATCATTAAATTTATTTATATATATACAAAAAAGGTCTTAATCGTCATGATAAAATTGCAAATTTGAAGGCATAAATAAATCCTTTCTCTATGCTAGAACTTGACCCCTTTTCTCTTTCTAGTTATATAATAATTACACAGACACAAACGCATACATAGGGCCACTGCAAGTAAAGATTTCAATATCTTTTACCATTAGTGTAGACAATTATATACAAGTATAAATCATTTTCTCTTCTTTTAGCCTTTATTTGGTAGGAATTAAAATTAAATTTTAGTGGATTTTAATAGAAATTTGTGATTGAATAATTGTGAAACATATAAAATACACAGTTAAAATTAATAATTTACTTTAATTATATTAAAAATCTAAATTTTAATTTCTATCAAACAACTCATTTTCATCCCTACCCCACCTCGCAAATAAGAGAAATAACTTCTCAAAATAAGTGAAAACCAATAACTTCTATATTCAGGGCATATAGGGGTATATGTAGATTAGATTGGTGAGGTATGCACCGGAAAAGTTTATGTAAAGCAAATTTAAAGTCGAAGTCTTCAAATTGTGAAATATGGACGTTTAGGTTCTTATTTGCTTTACGATGTTTCTTGAGAGTTTTTTAACTTTCAAATTTCGATGAATGTATATTTTTATTAGATATAAGTTGTCTATTTTGCTGTTTAAAGGCATGTTAGATTATGCACCTTATAAACTTAATCAAACACATTATTATCTTGCACATGAGTTATGTTACAAAGGTAATTTTGGATGGATTCTAATGTGAAAATCGACGAACGTTGAAATTGAAAGTTAGGAAACTAGTGTGGTGTAAAAAAAAAAAGTAGGTTGCAAGTGAATTTCCATATAACGGATCGCATCTATTTTGCCGTCAAACCTAATATCATATATGTGAGTTACACTCTGAATATAGTTTAGTTAAATTCTATAATTATAAAGACGTCATGATTTTGTACATGATAACTAGCTTTTTATTGTTAAAAGATGGATTTTTATAAGAAGGAAATAGGTAAATAGTAATCTTACACGTTGTCTACATATTCTTCGGGGGGAAAATGGGTGATTTACTAAAGCAACCCCTCGAAATATTTTATTGACAAAATGAATGGTGTAGAACTCGTATGGACCAAAACTCAAAACTCGAGTACTCATTAAGTTAGAAAAAAATTGTAAAAAGGTTTAAACATCTTATTTACAAAGTCTAGGGATCTCGACCGCAATTTTCTCCTTTCAAAAATAACAGTTGAATTAATGACTGGAACAATGAAGTTGTGTAAAGCTTCAGAGAGAACTCCAAGAAGTACTTAAAAAGTTAAAACACTTCTCTCCGCTTTTGCTCTCCATTATAGATCAGAGTCGCTTAATAATTCGAAAAACTCAGCACAATCCCCGAGCTGGCGTTATGGCCCATTATCAGGTGTCTACTTTACACCAGTACACTTCCACCGCTAACCTCTGAAACCCAAAACACGCACAAACGCACACACCCAAATCAAGATAAAAAAAAAATCGCATCTTTTTTATATATATAATATAATATATATAAATATCTACACACTTTTTTATATGATTTCTGTCTCTAAAGTATTGCGTTTGTGGTTGTTATTTGACTCGCATGGCATGGCAGTGATGAATGGGTTTTAGACACCGAGAATGGAAAAGGGTTCAGCTTCTGGTGCGCAGGACTCACTCAATGGTTTGAACTTTGGCAAGAAAATATATTTTGAGGATGTAGGTAGTGCAGTTCAGGATAAAACTGGATGTGGGCGGTCGCCGGTGGTGGCTCCCGGGCTTCCACCACCGGTGCCGTCAAAGAAGGGGAGGGGTGGTGGGGTACAGGGTGGCCAGCCACCCAGGTGTCAAGTGGAAGGGTGTCAGATAGATCTGAGTGATTCTAAGGCTTACTATTCAAGGCACAAAGTCTGTGGTATGCACTCCAAGTTTCAAAAAGTCATTGTTGCAGGCCTTGAGCAAAGGTTTTGCCAGCAATGCAGCAGGTCAGATTTTCTTTCTCTCTCCTCTCTCTCTATATAGCTTTATTCCAATCTATATACATGCAACAGTGTACAAATTTTCAAAAAATAGCTTCATATATTGTATAGGGATTTTTTATATTATTTTTGTTGGTTAGGTGTGTGCGATGATGACACGGTGTTAATTCATCGTGTCGGTTTATAGTCTCTGTGCGTTGGATTCGTAGTTTATCATATTTTGTTTGGATGATTATTTGAGAAATTTAGTATCCTTGAGGGAGTTTTTACCGATGCTGAGGATGTCTCCTTCTGATTTCCCATTGTACAGGCCTTTTAAAGTTCATTCAAGATTTTGATTGGGATTTTGGTGGAATTGGGTTTTGTTTTATGATATATTATGTAGATTGTTGATGTTTAGTATATGGCTTTCGTGTTTTAGTGAATGCCCCAACGCAAAATGAAAAGGCAGTAAATTCATGTTCTCAATTGTTTTCTTGTAACATATCGAATTGGTTTGCGGGCTTTCAATAATGAGACCGAGCTTGGTTCTCCAGTGCCTGGCTATTTCCTTTCCAGTCACTCGGTTGGGCCAAGCTAATGAGTTCCAGGCTCAACACATTCGTAGTAAACGAAATATGGAATTTGTTGTAGAACTAGAAAATAAATATTAGTGGATAATTTTCTTATTCCTGCCATTTCATTAGCTAAATATGTGACAAATTGAAGTGGAGCAACCAGTTGGAAGGCAGGACGGCACACACTTAAGAATACTAAGAAAAAAATTTGAAGTAAAAAGATATGCTCTCTTGAGCTTTGCTCAAACAGTTTTAAACGACTTGTTTGAAATGGTATTTTAATCTTGCAAAGTTGAGAAATCAGTCAAGTACATATATTTATATATTAATACCCACTTCCCAAAATCAGTCATGTATTTGGCAACCCGCCACATGAAGATCCTCTTATATCAGACACCCTTTTGTGAACTTAATATTGTGACACCAACTAACAACTAAATTGCTCAATATGTTTAGCAACTCAACTTTTGTTCACTTTATCTTACTCCTCGAACTGTATTTTGTGATATGGGCTAGCATATCTTTGTTTTCATAGGTATGGTTTCTCGCACCACTGTCCAGAAACCATGTCATATCTTCTTAAGATTCTTCTTCTTTGAGAGTATACAAAAAGGTTGAATCCACTGCATTTTGGTCATCTTTGACAAATTTGACATCTCCATTTTAAAACATAGGATTTATACTTCTTCCCCATCCTCTTATATGTGTGTAATTGTGATCTTTTTCTCTTTTAGTTTGCTTCTCATCCTCCTTGGTTGGGTGGATGGTTATATGCACACCCTTCAGGCACTAGCACAAGACATAATAGGAAAGAAGACAGAAGACGAATATTAGGTCTCATAAACTTTGCTGAAGATTTCTTATTTTTAGACGACTTGTTTACATGAGTATTTATAGGTTTTCCAAAACATGAATATGATTTTGTGCATTTATCAAGAAATTGATATTTATTTCTCCCTACAACGTACACGTATATTTGCAACTATTTGAAATTAATCTTATCTCGTATATTTTTAATCCATGTACGTTGAATTAATCTATTGAGGACAATTAGTTCCACTTTTCAACACAATGTAGCCAACTTTAGTTACCTTGAGATAGGCTTTGTGGAGTTCTATTACTAATGTTATGGAATTAAGCTATTTTACAATTAAATGAATAAATGTTGGCTGTGAGTCGCTATCCAACATCTTGAGAAGGATATAAGTTCTAATATTAAATTAAATATATGGAGATACAAGGGCGTATATCTCGTGGTTGAGAGTTTAATGATTTTGTGCTTGAATTTGTTGGGAAATGACATGCAGTCACAATAATAATTGAAAGAACTAGGAAAATGAAGAAAAATGCCACTTTAATTACATTAAGAACTAAATGAAATGAATCATTGGGTCACACATATTGAATGAAGTGATGGAGGCAGAAATAGGAAGGGGAACGTTTTCTTCAAGATTATGCTATGTATCATACACTATATATTCACTTGATGATATTTGAGTGGTATATATCCGTGGACCCTTAGCTATGGTATTAGGTAGAGGGAAGCATGAAAGATGGTGGAGTTTTGGAAATCTTACGATTCACTGCAATAGGGCATCTGTATAAACTTTATTTCGATGATAAGACAAAATTTCTTGTCATGATTATGTAAGCAGAGATGCAAGAAATGCACAGAAGGGTTACTTACATTGTTTTTCTTGATTATTATTAGCTAAAGCATGTTTCTGATAGTAAACATATGGTAAGTTGATTCAATATCTACTGTAAATGTCAGGCTTCCATTCAAGAAACTGAACAAATGATTGCCATTAGAGGATGAGTTTTCTTATGGCAACTACAGCTGTACTAGTTAAATTCTCTGTACAAACTAAGATGAGGACAATCTTAGAAACAAATGTCTTTCTGGAAATTTTTTAAAAATCAAAATACATGAATAAGAATATCCAGATTGTGCAGTTGATGTCCTAACATCTAAGGGTTGTGGACATATGCACGCACTTTTAAAATAACTCAATATCACAAGAACTTGTGCAATTTCCTATTATTTTGTTTCTTTAAGCCTAGCATCTGTAATTTTGGATTTGTGTATCATTGCACGTCGTACATCCTCTGGCTAATAATGAATATTTGCAGAGTTCGTTCACTAAATTTGGGATCAATTAATGAATTCTAAGTAGAAAACACTTTAAAATTATAGTTTTGGTTCTTTTGAAGGACTGCACACATGAGATACTTTCATGTATGATATTATGGAGATGCCATAGGAGGTGGTAGGAGTGGGACCGAACAGATTTCCAAAGAAGCTAATGCTTGCGGGACCAGAATTTACCCAGGGAGATTTTCTCATTTTCTTTCTATCGTTCCTTGTTGTTTTTTCCTTCTCTCCCCCTGTGGATGGTGTTGAGGGAGAGGGTCAGGTTAAGGTTGAGTTTGGGATTACGCCTGATTGCATTCTATAATACCCGATTCAACTTATATATTTTCGTTTGAGAATATAAAAAATAAAAAAGGTTTATCAAAATAGTTTTGCTAGAATATCTTATTGACCAAAAATTAACTATAAATTTGCAACTTGGGAAGCATTGAGCATAAGATTATCCGGCACAATTCAATACAGATATATTAGATTTGGAGAATAAGTTTCAAGATGCGAAGTATGCAGGATATGTCATTAAGATGAATATATACTTCTAAAACCTTGTGCATACACAGATACGTTAATGTTCTTCGATTATTAGTGCTTCCTAGTTTGCAACTCGTAACTGTTAGATTCTCGCTCCTAATCGACTTGAAAAAAAGTCTGCATGGAAGAACATGAAAGAATTACAGGCGGCAAGGTTACCTGTGCTGTACAGTATTGTGACATTGAAATTACTAGTGGATCCAAACATTTCTCGTACAGGTGATAACAATTCTCTAACTTATTAGTTTTATACGATTGGAATTTATTAGTGGTAGATCATGAGGGAACATTAGGCCAGACATGGTTATCTGTTTGAAATTCATGTGCATGCAAAGTGTGCCAAACCCTTGTTTTAGCTCTCCAGTTGTTTTGAGCTCCAAGTTGTAGATTATTCTTTGGCAATTCCTTATTATTCTAATTAGTGTTGAATGAGTAATGATCTTGCCTATAATGGAGCTAAAGACTAACGGACGTTGAAGAATTTCCAAAATAAAGGGAACTTGGAGGGATGATGATGGGCTTTGATGCAAATAAGGTAAGATAAATGTATATACTTATCCCATGCGGAAAATGAAGAGCTGGAAGACTACCTTATCAGTAATTATGTCTGTTAGACATTTGTGTTGTAAAAGTGCACGTGAGTGAGGACCACACAAAGCACCATCTGAGCCTGCGCTGCACGAGATGTGGGCTGTAGGTTAGACAATCAGGTTATAGTTATTTTTAATTAGTAGTGTCTTAAACTGTAAGAAGGAGAGAGGGATCAACTTTGTTGATATCCATCTGAAAGGATCACCTCTAACAGCTTTATAGGATGATTAAACTTCGATAGGTTGTGATTTCAAGTGTTAACTGGAGCAGGAATTTGTTAGAAAGTGATAAACAGGCTGGATTTTAATATATTTTCAACAGTCGACATTCTTGAATTTTGTTTTAGCTAAATAACAGTGTCTTTAAGTCTTAAGGCCTTCATTGTTGTTGGAATGAGATCTTTTCGGGTAGCCTTTTCCAGGTTTCATCAATTGTATGAATTTGACCAAGGAAAACGAAGCTGCCGCAGAAGACTTGCCGGACACAATGAGCGTCGAAGGAAGCCACCACCTAGATCTCTATTGTCCACTCGCTATGGAAACTTTTCTTCATCCGTCCTTGGTTAGCCATTACTGATTGAACTCTTGCTGAATTCTAGTGCTAATATTTTTCACAAACCCTCATTTTTTAAATTTAGATCATTTTCTTTTGTACTGCAACTGAGTTCAGATATTTGATATTTCCCTTGACAGAAACCCATGGCAGAAACGGAGGTTTAATGATGGACTTCTCTTTCTACCCAAGTCCAGCCGAGAGGAATTCATGGCCAAATATGTTGTCATCTGAACGAGGACTGGGGAATCAAGTTACCATCACTGGGAAGTTTCTTCCACCATGGCATAGCAACCCAGAGAATCCTACATCCTTTCTTCTGCAAGGTTCAACTAGTGCCAGCTATTTAGGTCCGGGATTATCTTCCGGAAGTTTCAGTGGAGTCTCGGACTCCGTCAGTGCTCTCTCTCTTCTGTCAAATCAGCCCTGGGGCTCTAGAAACATACCCTCGAGTCCCGGGCTAAACACCTTATATGGTGCCAATGGGGCATCCGTGGTTCAGCCATCAGTTGCACATGGTATTCCTGTTGGCAACTTTTTGAGTCTTCCATGGGGTTTCAAAGACAACCAAGCTAGTACCGGTTCCCAAGAGATCCCTCCTGATCTTGGCTTAGGTCAGATTTCACATCCGGTCAAAAGTCAGTATTCCAATGAGCTTGAGACTGCTCAACAGGGTGGAGGACAATTCCATGAACTCGAGCTCTCGACTGGTTATACTTCCTCGGTCGAGCATATGCACTGGTCACTTTGAGTGTCATTTCTTCTCTGAAGTCAAGGTCCTTGAATCCTCGTGTGTTCAATAAACTAAAACGTGCTGCTTTAAGTTCTTGTCAGCTACTGCTTTTGTGTGATGTATATATCTCTGTTCTGCTAAGAGAGAGACCTAAGAAGACTTTTACGCGTGCTTATGTTTTAAGTTATTGGATGACAGATAAACTTTTGGTACTGTTTGTTTAGGTAGCTGAATCGCCCTACTGACCTAGAAGGAGCTGGGAAAACTGATACTCCCCATTCCCCATTTCATTGCCTTTTTATCACAGGCTGCAGTGGGCATTATCGTTGGGTTACCAGAAACAGGACTTTGCATGCTTTACGGGTAATCACAAATAGAATAATCAATTATGCAAACCCGATTTTTCGGGTGAACCGGTGGTAACAATCTTCATTTAACAGTGCAGTTTTCTTTATGTAACTTGACTAAATTTCAGACTCAAAACAGGAAAGGGCAGTGTAGCATGCTATTGTACACGATGAATGTACAGCTGGAAAGCAGCTACTTCTAACTTTCTAATGGTTATTGATTTTCTAAATCAAATCGGGTTCATTCCGACTCTAGTGACATTGGTATCACGTTGCAAAAAGCCAACAACCAAAATTTTCCCTATGCATAAGCAAAGTTTCCGATACAAGCGAAACAAATTTCTAATTCTAATGCTATTCAACTCATCTAAACAGTGAGAATTACACTCTACAGAAGAGAAACAAAGGCACTGGCTAGTTTCCGATGTTTGCAAGGGAAAGTTCAATCATTATTATCAAAAGCAATGGACTTAAACGCCAATCTGTCACTACTCGACGGAGAACGTCAATATAAACCAAAGCATCAGGACTTTGACACATTAAAGCTACTGCTCAATAATGCACTAATCTCTCCTATGATATTGACGGGTCTTCCATCAAACATCGATGAAAGTGTGCTCTCACAGAGTTTCTTTAACTCCCGGGTTTTTGCAATGGCTGCTTCCTGCATATCGAATGAAAAGAACATTATATCTGAGAAATTAAGACCGTCATACCTACTTCACTAGCAAATACAGAACAAACAGGTACTATGTTACTCGCTCTATTGAAAGAACTCGTGTTACTTGTATTCTATTAAAAGAACTTTTCTTCTCTCTTAATTCATTGTATTCCAGTTATTTAAAAATTTCATATTACAATATTACTGTATATGAATAAATATTTCCATCAAATTTTTATCAGTAAAAAGGCCACGGTTAACAAATATTCTGGGAGATATTTGACTAGACAACTTATATTTTGAAAGGAAACTTTCCTGTCCTTAACCCCCCTTCTCCCCCAAGAAACACATACACAGAGAAGAAGCCCTCCATAAAAAAATTTCTCGTGCCAAATGAACTCACTTGTTTAGGCCAGGAAGAAGATAAAGAATTCTGCAGTTCCATGCGTTTATACGACAGGTCTTTCAGTGACTCCTTTAACTTGACTTCATGACACTTCTTTTCCTCCAGTGTGCTTACTAAACGATCTAAGAATCTGAAATTTAGAGAATATAATGGAGTCAATATTCAAAGTTTAAATAAAGGAAACCATTAGTTGCAAAATACAAGAATGATATAGTGTAGAAAGAAAAGAGTACAGATGCAGTTAGGACCAAAAAAAAAAAAAGGAGTGTTGGGATTGGGGTGGGGGGGACTTCTTGTCCATGCGATTCATCAGGACTGTAAAACCCAAAATAAATAAAAGTGACATGAAAACAAGTTCAACTAACACCTTTTTGAGTTGAGTATCATAATCAGGTCCCGAGTTTTTCGATTTGTTAACAATGAAATAGCCAAGGAAATATCAGATTGCATCATCTGAATTGAGTCAGAAGTGTATTGCTGCAGCACAAATGGAGCAACTGCCTGGACTTGATGTTGCAAGGACAAGGTTTCTGAATTTGTCAATTCAATCACGCGCTGATTCAGAAATGCTTTAATCTGATGGATGTGTCAAACCAGAAATAGAAGATAAAATATTCTGAAGTCAAACATGAAATAGAAATTAGTCACAAGTAAAAATGATAGAGCATGCATAGACCTCAAATAAATCGTCCAGGATCTTATTCCGGTATTCTATTTCCAACAGCTGACTCCTATCATGGTTAGTGTCTGGAGCTTTGGATGAATCATTAAGCACATTTGAACCAGGTACTGAAAAAATACGCGACAAATCAGCTTCTTCAGTTCCATCAACCTGTGGATTTTCAACAACTATATCCCAAGGGCTCTCTGAAATGGAGACATCTGGAGCTTCAGAGTTCTCCGGATTTGACACCACCTGATGAGACTCGACAGCACCATCCTTATGAGGGGAATTTTCCAAAATGTCACTAGCATTAACAATTTCATAAGGACCCAAACCATTCCCAGTATCTTCTGTCTCTTCCACTGTGCCAATGTCCCAATCAATCTGAGAGCTGTCCATGGTAATATCCCAGTCAATACTGTTTGCCCCGATGTCTGTTTCCCCAGCCATGTGTGCTGATTCATCATTGCATCCTTGAGCAATAAGAGTATCAGAAACTTCTGGGGTCACGTAAACATTAAGAGAAGGGGGGCTTTCACGAATATTCCTCAAATTTGGTAACAAAAACCCAGGAGTTACCTGCAACGCAATTTATTTTATTTTTTTTAAAAAAAGAATAAAATTATAGTAATGCATTTCCAGCTTTCATCAGCAGCGAAAAAAATTCGCTATAGCCTTACTTCCTTTTCTGTATGAGCATCTCTGACAAAGGTTGAGTAGAAGTCAAGTGCCCGTGAAACAGAATCACCATTAATTACTTCTAAAATCCTGTTAAAAGTGCTTGGAAGAGATTTTGTAGCTGTTTCTAATAATTCTGACCTCACGTTAATCCCCTATAGAGCACAACCTTCAATGCGTGAGAATTTGTTTTTTAAAGGTACATCAAGAGAAGCCGACAACTATAAACAGTGTGACAGAAGCAAAACCTGCAATCCTAGCTCCTGACAAGCCTGATCATATTTTGTTGCTGAAAGAACTGCATTCCTTTTTATATCAGCTTCCTTGCGCTCTAATTCAGCAAGCTGTTGTTGAGTCTTCTGGACCTGCTTCTTTTGATATGGGCTTCAAATCAAATATGAACTCAATCAATTGAAAGAACAGAACTAGTGAAAGAAACTAACATAAAAGACACATGCTAATGTATCTTTAATACTTTACATGCTTTCTTACATTTCATAATTAACATTTTGGATCATTATCTGTGCAGCCTCACCAAGAAAAATATGATCTTTTTCATATGCCCGCACTATTGTTTCCCAATTGCCCTGTCAAAGATTGAAACATGTTTTACAACCTGTTGTGAAGCAAATGCATTGAGCACCATTACACTTGGAGATATAAAGAGGCTGTTTTGTAGATCTTACAGCAGCACCTGAAAGCCGGCCAAAAATGTTACGGCTTTCAGGAGTCGACTTTAGAAGAATTTCATATATTTGCTTCGCTTCAAAGTACCCAATTCCTGAAAATTTATTGTGATCTCATAATAAAAATGGACATGACGAAAGAAAATAACTCATATTATAATGATATTAAAATTTAAAATCCAAGTCAAGTTCGTAAAGTCACACATTCATGCACTAACAAACCTTCTCTTTGAAATGATGTTCAAAGGTAGTATGTTCGGAAAATAAATTGTATATAACCATGAAAATTGATAAAAAGAATGCAGATTTTCAGGTTTATGCAAAGTCAAAAATCATTTCCAGCACCATTATTCTACACTAAAATTATATTCTACCTTTAAAATTGATTGAACAATCACTATTTATGAGAAGTTTTTTATTTTTTTAATCTAGTTGCGACTTATATTTTATTTCCCTCCATTAACCAAAAATGAAAAATTTTCAACGTTAATACTAGTCTGAAAATTATTAATATTCAAATTCAAACATTAAACTGCTTAATCTTGCAAAAAGAAAAAGAAAAAAAATGATCAATTTCCCTCTGCAATTAAGAACTTAACACAATACTCATTCCAAATCAAAAATGAAAAGGAAGAAAGCACATAACAAATCAAAAAAGGTGCATGTAAAAGGCGCCTTTCGATCAATTATTAAATTACGGATAGTAAAATAGTACTTGGCACTATGCACATGTATATCTATTCGACTGGTTAAAAAAATAGTGAATGAATTTTTCCTAGAAAAATACAATTAATTATGTATTTAATCAGTAATTCACGATAAATTTACGTAAATAAAAGAACCTTCAAGGTCCAGGGTTAGGAATAAAGGATCAATGTCTTTCGGCAGTGCAGCAAACGCCGCCGAAATCTTCGCTTTCACCGCCGCCAATCGCTTCCTCCAATCCGATGGAATTCTCTTCCGATCCACCAACCATTCTTCATTTTAATTCAGAAAAAAAATTAAAAAAAGTAAACAAATAAATTTCTGAAAAATTACTGATCGAAAACAGCAGCATAAACGTTGGAATTTGAAACAATTTTACCTCCGAGTCGACCGAATGAAATGTCGATTGGAAGGTTTCTGATTTCATCTGCATCCGGCATTTTCGATAGCAAAAATTTAGGTATTTTCAGAATAATTAGATTTTTCAGTGTTTTGTGTATTTTAACATTTTTGACTTGTTAATCAGTTGCTGTGTGCGAGCGTACGCCTTAGAGTTGTGGGCTTATCGACGGAATGGGCCAGTTTTAGGACTGGCTAATTTCCTCTACAGTCATTGCACAAACTGGGGTGGGCCTAATAGAAGGCCCGGAGTTGGGCTTTGTAGCACGATCCTACCAAGTATTCTCTCGTGTACTTCATTCTCTCTCTCTCTCTCTCTCGCTCTCTCCACGCAGATCACTGCCAGTTCAGGTAAGCATCCTCTTTCCTTTACGTGCATTCGTTTTTATACATAGAGAACGACGTATACAAAATATATGGCCACAAATATTTGTATTTTCTTGCATAATTTAAATCGTTGAAGGAAATAATATAAGGTTGAATTCTCAAACGTATTGGTATATAATTGATAGTCTATTCATGATCGGGTTTATGCTTTAGACTATTTTTTCCCTTGATTGGATTTTACGAACTGTAAGTTTGGCGGAGTTTCTAGTACAATGCAGCTAAAAATAAAAATAAAAAATATGATTTTTGAAAATTTGGGCAATATTAGTTGGAATTTGGGAGGCTGCTTTTGGATAAAATTGTGAACCAGGGGTTTATTCCTTTTGTTGAAGTATTTAATATGGTACATAAAAGGGTAATGGTGTTTTGTGAAAGGGAATACTATTTAGTTTTCTGTATTTAGAATATTTATCCACTGAAAACAACACTTCTTGCACGTGTAATGGAGGATTAGTGTTGAATATTGAGTTGGGTAAAGTTGTTAATAGTCAAGTATGTGTGTTGTATTAGCAGAGACATTTTCTATAGTTGTTTTGTACTCCTTTAAACATGTTTCTAATAGAATTTCTGTTTTTCTATATCTTTTAGAAGTTGTCATGCCAGGCTTGCCATAGTAATTCTTTTGCTTTTATATTTTGTTCTGGATCTGTCAATATTTTACTGCATCCTCACATTTGCTTCAATTAGCTTTATTGAGAGAGAGCACTTGTTCAGGACTGATTTTTCTCCACGACATACTTTGTTATCTAGTTTTGACAAAGCAATGGATCAGATGGAGCTTAGACAGATGGAAGATGAAACAAGTCCATTGATTAAAACCATAAAGGGTGCAACTGCAGGTCTAGTTGCAGGCACTATTTGGGGTACCATTGTTGCTACTTGGCATGATGTGCCTCGAGTTGAGAGGAGTATTGCACTTCCAGGTCTAATTAGGACATTGAAGATGATGGGTAATTATGGGATGACTTTTGCTGCTGTTGGCGGAGTATACATTGGCGTCGAGCAGCTGGCTCAGAAGTATAGGATGGAAAGAGACTTTGTTAACGGAGCTGTTGGTGGATTTGTTGCTGGTGCTTCTGTTCTGGGTTATAAAGGTGAAATCTTTTTCTACACTAAATAGTCTGGTTCTTCTTCTCGATAAATACAATTTTATAATGTGAAATATCCCATGTAATATTCCTTGATGTAAATAGAAGGTGAGCTTATAAGAATGTAAATGGATTATAGACATTGTGAAGTCTCTGGTGAAGTTATCAAAGATGATTATATGTAACTTTTGTCACTTATAAGCGCCCAGAAACAAATTTGGTCACCCCCAACTTTTTTTAGGTATCTATGAACTTTAACCAACAAGATGTCAGGTGCATCTACATAAATTTCACAAGCATGCCTCCTCTCATGCCACTCATAATCCTCTTCTCCAATCCATCCCCAAATCAATCTCCCCTACGTAGCCCTACCCTGTCAATGTTTTCATCCACCCCAACAATCACTCATCAGAACCCTCACGGAGCTTGCCTACCTCCCAGTCACTGAAGGACGAGATAAGCAAAAGATGCTCATTTCAATTAAGCAACAGTGTGCTTAGAGGCACATTTTTATCAGCCATCTCAAATGGGCTCAAAGATAATTTCGAGTGTTACCTTATATGTGTGCTGGTTTGTTGTTATCTGTACATATATTAATTTGTGGTTGCGTCCCCTTACATGCATATTGAGAATATGATCGCTAAGTTTTCTCTAACAGGAAGAGCGACGGTCATTCTAAAAAGGTATTTCTGCTGTTTTCATATTTTATTGTTTTTCTCACCTACAGAAGACGCACCATTTATTGAAACGCTTCCAGGAATCATTGCTGAATATTTATGAAGATAAGAACTGAATCATTTGTGTTACTCACATATTTGGCAGTTGGCAGATATTGTTAATTGATTATAGCTATTCGTCATGCCAATTATGCACTCAATAATTTATTTATTTTTTTCGGAAAATCTAATGCAAGTCCTTACAGTTCAGAGGATAGTCGTGTTAAACTTTTTTAAGACTGAAGATATTTTTGAAAAATATTTTGGAAAAAGTTGCAAAGAAAGAATACTTTTGGGTATTGTTTTTACCATTAGAGTGGAAGTACACAGAATAAACTAATCACATTTGTGCTCTCTCTCTCTCTCTTTTAATTGTATTTTCTATATGGTTTTCTCATTGTTTTTCTTATCAAGCTTGGATATTTCCTAATTTATTAAAAAATTAGATCAACAAAATTAACCAGAATGAGTTTTTTCTAGATCCAAAAAAAAATTACAAAACTTGAACGCTGTGAGTGTTTTCCAAGTGTACATAATGAATGATTCAGTTGTACATGATAGGCCCCCAATCTGGTTCACGTATGTAAGAAGGAAAAAGGGCACCAAGTCAGCATAAGTTAGTTAGAGAGGGGTAATAGTGTAATAGTTTGTAGTAGGATTGGAAATAAATATGGAGGGAAAGGGAGCTGGGAGGGTAACAAATCAGTAGTCAGTTAAAGGGAAGTGGGGGAGGAGAGACCAGCCTCTCTAATAGCCTGGAACTTGTTATTTGCTTGGTTGATTCACTGATTGAGTAAAATCAATAAATACATTCATTGGTCCTTGGTTGTGCACAAAATTTCTCATTCAATTCCAGTAGCTAATTCCTAATACTTCTTCTACAATTACAGTAGGGGAACCTCTCAGTACAATTCCAAAAGCATATCATTGATGTTAATAATTCAAGAAACTGAAATTAGTCGTTAGTTTTGATATAAATAAATAATGTAAACTAGATGCTCGAGGATGAAAGTGGTAGAAAAGATGTATGTTCAGGTTTCTTTTGTAATATTTCGAAAAGACTTGTATGCCCTGAAAAGTTTGCTTTTGAAGTTAAATGTTACTTCTTTTTCTTTTTTTTGAATTTTAAAACTAGACTTGTATGTACTTTCTCAGTTTTTAGTGTTTGATGATTATGTGTAGAATTTTAATACTTGACATTGATGTCCGAATCATCCCCTAGCCAACTATTGGCACCTAAAATGTACTAGATTCTGCAAAATAGGACATTTAGAATCCGCTTGACCCCTGGAAACTGAGGATCGGGTATTGCATTTCATTACTCGACAGATTTTACTGTTGAAGAGTGGTAAATCCAATGTAGTGTTTGTAAATTTTGGAATCTCTCTCAGTCTCACCTTCCACCATGTGAAGGGCCTAGTATTTTTCATTGAATGGTTTAGTGGGTCTGGTAAATAAGCCATGTTATACAATTGCCGAGTTGCTATATCCTGGAGCCAGTAACGTGTCACGTCCCGTGATGCATCATACCCTGTTTGGCATGTTAGGCAAGCTTGTGCTAAGGCCAGTTCTGCACAGATGCCAAACTGAGCAAGGTTGAACTGGGCTTCCTTGTCCAAGCTCTTCTATGCAGCCTGAGGAATGCCTTACACGTGATGTACGAGTTTGGACCTCTACAGGTCCAAATTTGCTTACAGTCCTTGTCTCAAAAATGATGGGCCGCACCCTTTCCTGATCGTTCCAAGATTCTATCGTCCTTCATTTTAGATGTTATCAAGCAGAATGATTTTACTACACCATATAGGAGAGATATACTAATACTATACCATATTGGAAACAAATGCTAATATCCTGCCTGAATAAATCTCCATTGTTAAAATTATTATTTTAACAAATTTATGTGCTGATACAGTCCTGATATTTGGAATTGTCCATTTTTTGCCTTCTCATTTTGATTTGAAAAGGCAGGTCTAAGTTTTACTGTTTTAGGATTGAATTCTATTTCCCATGTAGTGGTAATACTTAGGTAATGGTGCTTATAGTTTTGGCTTTTATCTTTATCATCCTTCGCAGGAAGGAGCATATCCTCAGCAATCTCTGCGGGAGCAGCACTTGCAGTGACGTCTGCTGTCATTGATGCTGGAGGTCAGACCACGAGAATTGATAATGGCAAAGAGTACTATCCTTACACCATCAAGAAGAGGCCAACTGTTGATTGACTCTTTTACCCTTTTCATTGTTGCTTCTTTGCAAGGAAAGCTTTAGTTGGGGCACTTGGTCACTCTTTCTGTCTCGCTGTTTCCTCCTTTAAGATGTTTAATGTACTTTAGGCCTTTGTTTTTTGGCTTCTTACCTTTGTTTCTGTTCTCATATTGTGAATTTGAATAAGTTTACTGTTATTTTTGAGTTTCCACCATGAGAGAAACATCTCCATTTGGATACATGTAGTTCTTGATTATGTTCATATAACTTGGAAAAGCTGTGAGGCAGTGTTGTTGAGCATTTTCTTGCAAAATGCATTCATTGTTGATGGAGAATAATCGTTATAACTGGTTCATATATACTTCCCGTTGTTGGTTTCACGATTCTTCTTGCATAATTGTATTCTGCACACTGGCTAAAACTTTCCTACTTTTTCATTTTCGTGAACAATTATTGTAACATGAAAATGGATTTGTTGGGCTCAAATTTTAATCCCAATTTGTCATACAAAAGTTCTGAAAGTGCGTTTCCTTTTGCATCTGAATTGTGGAATGAAGTTATCAAATTGAATAATGGAAACAGGTGATCAAAGTGAGTGAGAACAGATCTGCAATCAAGTTGATCCTGTCATTGTTTTGGAAGAAATGATGGGAGCATAAGAGTAAAACCTTACCTTGTCTGTGTCTATGAAAATAGTAGCTGACATAAAAGTTTGACCTACTTTTAGTAAGAAAAAAACTATTTGTACATAATTTTTCTTACTGAAAATGTTACACCCTCTCACGTGTGCAGGCCCGCGTGAATAAAAAACTCCAAAAAACATGGTCCCCATGCCCTACTGTGAGTGTAGGTAAAAGATTAGGTAAAAAAATAATGTACATATAACATTGCTCTTTTAATAAAGTCAACTTTTTATGTTTTCTATGAAAATAGTAGGACATAAAAGTTTGAACTACTTCTAATAAAGTTGGCTTTTTAAAATAGAACTCTATGGCCCAATATATAGTTTGTTTATTCATATCACGCGTGCGCGCTGCGCATATTGCATGAAATTTTAAATTAAAAATAATTACAATAAAACTCATAAGAACACTAGAAGCATAGATTCTCCTGCATCTCTCTTGGATGACCAAAGCGAATAGTGAAACATCGCCATTTGTTGGTTCATCTTGAATAGTGGTACAAATTGGGCTGAGCCGCCCAGAAGTAAAAAACTCGGGCCAATTGACAGTAAATCAGCAAGGACATCTGACTATCCATGTCATTAGATTGGAGAGAAACAATAAGAAAGATCACACTTCCACTTAGATCCTAAAAAAAATCCTCTACTTGAATACAACATAACTAGAATAAAAGATGATACAAATTCGTTTATACTGAAATACAGTTGCAAGTAAGCAAATGTTTTTTTCTAAAAGCAATCTGCACAATAGTTCAAAAGTCTGAACTGACTGGATGTAGTTAAGTCAACAGTAGTACTAAAGTTCCAGATGCCCTCTGACTCCAGCACCAACAAAAATGGCAAGAGGAGTCTGAACTAGTCAATACTAGAAGCAAAGCGAAATACGCAAGCTTTAAGTTTTGAACTTTATCCTTTCGATTGTGATCAATCAGTTTCACGCTTGCTTAATCACCTTGTAAGCAGTAAAGCTGCCTAATATTTCCTGATGCTGTCAAATCATACAAACAAGAGTGTTAAAGCAAGTCACTTTTACTAGGTAACCCTTTTTCCCTCTTCGGGTGTAATATGATAGATTGAAATAGGCACCTACAGTGAATAGGATGTATACAATACAATTAATGAAAAAAATAAGTTAAAATCTTGTGCGTTGTCATGTGTCCTGTCTGGTTCTATCTAACACTGTACACTAAACGTGTATTTAGAGTGGTGTTCATAATGGCAAGTTTTAGTGTCTTACATATGATCAATATACATGCACTAGATATACATAACCATCTGAAGGAAAGCTGCTTAATATGCCAACTACAAACTCAAAAAGGGAACACATAATTAAGGAAACAATCACCTCTGCCCATAAGCTAGTATGAAAGCTAGCCATAACTTTGAGAATGAAAAAAAATTGTTACTGCTCAATTGTAGATCCTTTATAATATGATTAATCTAAAGTTGAGGCAGGCTGGAATCAGAGATCAAATGCAACCAGAAACATCAGCTGCCATTAGGGTTTTATTGGCGGTGTTTGGGGTGGGCTTTTTTTTTTACTATGTATTATTTTGGGGGGTAGTACAGAAAATTATTCTTGGGCACAGTTTCAGATAGCATAAGCCTTGATTTCTGATATAACAAGCTTTAAGAAACATTAAAAAGAAAATACGAAGTTCAAGAAGCATGCATATATCCTGTATGGATAGGAGATAGAATAAGCCTTGATTTCTGATATAACAAGCTTTAAGAAACATTAAAAAGAAAATACGAAGTTCAAGAAGCATGCATAAATCCTGTATGGATAGGAGATAGAACTGACTACGGAAGAACAGTGTCATAATAAGACATTACCATATAACCAGTCTTTGAAGTATACATGGAGAGCACTTGATAGTTCCCGTTTCCTGCTGTCTTCAAGCGAAGTTTCTCTCAAAATTTGCTTAATTTCCTCCAGGTTTCCGTGCTGAAATTGCAAGAAAAAAAATGCAGAAGACAATTTGAAATTCGACTTTAACAATTTAAGGATGATCATTGGCATTCTAAATAACACACCCTCACCCCCAAACCCCAAAAAGAGAAAAACAAACACAAGAAAAAACAGAAAATTGGGCGTGTAAGGGGAGTGGGGGAGCTTTCAAAATGTTTGCACAAGTAATATTGGGGCGTGGACATACATTTCTCTGTTGAGATGCCAGGTAAGCATCAGGTAAAGTAAAAGGGTTTTCTTTTGTGGACCCTTCAAGTTCACCTCCCAACCAGTTCGGAATCTGCACATAGTGAACACGTACATTAAAGCAGAAACTTCTAAAAAACTGAGAAAAGCTGACATCAATGATACCCCAAAAATGAAATGAACTAGCACATCGTAAAAGAACAAATTAGAGTTCATACAGTAGAGATTCAAGGTTCAGCGAACATTCATGTCAAATACAAATGATAAGTGAATTGGCATATCGACATCACACATACAACATTAAATCCATTTACAACATCTCAGAACCAAGAGAATGCACAAAATAATGTACATACCAAAAAATTAGTGTACTGGTCCGGGTCTAGGCGGGTAGCAGATTCAGCTTGAACATCTGAGACACCAGCAGGATGAGATAATGAATCGTGGGGATCAACCACTCCAAGTGCCACAGGTTCATCCCACCTGTTGATACTAGGGTCAAGGCCAACTTGATTCATGTGCTCCTCCAATTGTAAGTAAAATGTATTATATGGAGCAACCTGTTGAAAATTTAGGAAAAAAGGGGAGAGAAGAAATTTGATGTCAATATTCATTGACATATGACACATAGTACGACCCAACATTATTATGAATTCTATAGAGTATTTGAGCTCAAAATGTTTGGGAGCATCAAGGGGACAGATTAATATGTCCAGAAATCCTCTAGCAGAAAACTTTTACGCAGGTTCCAGAAACTTCAGGGGCTATCAAGCTGAATATTGGAGAAGAATAAGGTGTCCCAAGTGGTGAGGGCAATGCTAGCATGATGCAGAGACGTGTGCACCAAAAATGAAGTCAGTCTCACCTGCAATTTATGGTTATCACCAACCATTAGAGGTTGTTGATTTACCCCAAAGAAAAACACACATTCACGACAGTTGGCAATACAGATACGTTTTGCTGCTGTGATTAGATGAACACGTTCACAATGTTCCACTCTAACAGCCTGTAGGAGAAAAGAATCCAGGATGTATTCAAATGCTCTGAACAAATCGAATTAAAAATAAAATTCAAGCACAGCAGAAACAGATGGAAACACATTATCATAAATCGCATGTATAGTCAACCATAATCTTAATAACTCGTAGCATATCTAGTAGACCGTAGTGTTTTATCAACATCATAGCTAGTAAGTAATCATTAAAATGCATCACTGGTATCAAGATACCAAAACAAGGGATCCGAATTCACGCATTAATGTCAAGCTAGGAACAAAAGAGATAAGAGTTCTTAAGGAAGGTTAACCGTCGAAGTACCTTGCCCACGGCTCCCAGAACAATAGTTGCATCAGAACATCCATAGACTGTTGCATATCTCAGCGGTGCTAAAATGTAAATTACTGATTCGTGGCAATTTACAACCTGCCAATATCAAAAGCCAAGAGATCATGAGATAAGTTGCTTACACTGACATGAGAATTTTACTTGAAAACGCGTATGCCCAAAACAAGGATGATATAAACCAGGCCACGACGAAGCTGAGTGTACATTAATTTTGACATACACTGTCAATTTTGAAAGAGGCTTCCCAATGCAAATAGTCAAGGTGTGGTGGCTAGAAAGTAACTTATCTAGCTCACATTTTTTACCAATTGACATACATCACCAATTTTGAAAGAGGCTTCCCAATGCAAATAGTCAAGGTGCGGTGGCTAGAAAGTAACTTATCTAACTCACATTTTTGACCAACTGACATTTTCACATGAAATACAATTCATTTTAACTCTGATAAATTTCACATTTTTCCTCTTTCTGTTAGGATGGAGATTGAAGTTGCTAGAGAAGGGTAAAATTAGCAATGCCTTACAAACCCACACCCACTTTCTCTCTTAAACTTTCATCACATGCATGACAAAAGAAAGTCTAAACAATGGCCAGATTATAGGAACATTAATTCCAATTCAGCGCAGATTGGTTCAATTATCTGGTTGAGCCAACAAGATACCTCAAAGCTACATAATACAAATTCCAAAATACTTCATTTTCAGCATGGGTTTACAGTTGACTAAAAATCATTCATATTTAATAAAGCACCGAAATACTCATACTTATGAATCTAGCAATTGAAAACACGTGCATCAGCCTGGGAACTCATTTCAAAACTCAAATTGTTAGACTGAAAACTGTTTTTTGAATCAAAATTTCTGCTAAAACGAGTAAGAAAAGAAGGGCAGACGCAGTGGAACACAAGTAAAAAATTTCACCTTTACAGAAGAGCCTTTAAGATCAGATGCTTTCTTTAGATATGATGACTTAGAGATCCCTTCAATGAAGCTTGGACCTCTAGCACTGGTTAAGGTCTTCGCTGGACTTGTGCTGACATCAGCCATTGTAACATCTTGATCAGAGGCACTGCTTGGCCCATTCTCTTTTGAAGAAATTCTCTCAGAAATATGTTCCAATGCAGTGGCTACATTTTGTAGAAGCCAATCAAGAACTTGTGATGCAGGAACAGGAACAGCAGGCATGTCGGGATCTGAATTGGCAAAAAATGGAGAATTTTGGCTCAGGGAGGTCCTCTCTGATCCCTTTTCCCCAAAGTACAATAGAAATCCAATATGCTCAAATATATCCATTGATACAACCTGGAGGATATATGAGAAAGCTCAAGCTGACACAAATGCAAAGTAAGAATGTATGACAATTGCATCTCTACCATGAACAGTCCAAACTTGCACCAACAACAGGAATACTGCCAAGAATAAAATTAATCTAGCAAAAGGATGTTATAAGTATAAAATAAAACAAAGGATGCATGAAATTAAATATAACTATTAAAAAAAAATGCAAAATATGCCTACAGAAGCTAACCTAAAATGCACAAGTGTTAAGGCAGCAAGAAAGTTAGATACCAGAGAGTCTTCCACTTCCCCTTCTACACAGTCTGCCAAGAGGGACACAATATTGCCCAGGTGCTTCTGTAGATAGGACAGCTGGTGAGCCTCTTCATCAGCTTGAGATGGCATAAATCGACGATTGTTGCTGCGCACAAGCTGCAACAGATAGAACCGTATTTGTTAGTGATGACACTGTAGTATATAATAAATAATTCCAACAACTGTGAAAACAGCCAAAATTACTATGTTACTATCACGTCACCAAATTACTTCACTGCGGAACCAATTTTAGTATACTACACTTCAATCCAGAAAGCAATGATATATTCATCCATTAATAATATTGCGGTGCATACTTTATAAAATCATATAAATGACAACAACAATAATCCAGCTAAAATACTCAAATTCAACAATACTGCACCAGCATACTCAAAAAAAATTCAAAACTACTCCAAAAGAAGATTACAAAAACATTGGCACCTGTAACGGTGAAAGGGCGGACAAAAACCCGTCAAAAGCAGAGGTGGAGGGCCAAACATCAGCAACAGCAGCAGAATCCTTATGCCCTTTGGGAAGCAACCTCTTGTAACTCTGTATATACAAATAAACCAGCAAATCAAACACGTTAACTCCAATCGAATCGATTTCCTGCGGAGTCTTGGCATTGACCAAAGGATCAGAGTCATCATGAAGGACGGAAGACAAGGTTTCCAGGATAAGCCGAGAATTGTCAATAGAGATCTGGAGAGCTCCGGCGAGGGTTTCCGGATTGACCCGGTTGGACGAATCGGCGGCCAGAAGGGTGGATTTGAGATGGGAAAGGGTTTGCGTGGCGTCAGGAAAAATTAGTTTGGGGATGGGGAGAAGGCCGTGCTCGAAGGGCTCACGGCGGGGGTGGAGGTAATTGGTGGTAGACAACGCAGATATCGTTGTAGAATTTGATGATGTTGATGGAGGTTCGAGATGTGGTGGTTCTTCGGATAGGTAATTGGTGGTAGACAACGCAGATATCGTTGTAGAAGTTGATGATGTTGATGGAGGTCCGAGATGTGGTGGTTCTTCGGAGGCGGTGTCCGCCATTGCGGTGGCGATTTTTCTTGGGTAATGAGTGAATGAGATTCTGTTTTCGGGAAGAAAATAGTAGCGTGGCAAGATTTGTGAGCCTGCGACCACTGAATTTTCATTTATTTTACAATCATATCAGAGTTGCTAATACACAAGTAACTCAACAATACCTCACTCGCTTTTTCAACTCGTCGGCATACTTCTTCTTCTCAAAACACGTATTAAAATTGCTTTTCTTTCATAACTTGTATCAACAATCCTATCCAAACTTGAGTTCATCCTAAAACATCAAAAAAACAATGTAGAATCGACTCAAAATATTAGCAATTGCATGCAAATAGGCAGTCGATAAGTCACATTTATCATCATTGCTTAGTAGACTAAAGTGCAATATAGCCCATGTTTGGTGAATATTTTGAGTTCAAGAATGTATTTTTTTGTTTGATGTGATGGAGAATATGTGGTTGAAAAAAAGTTATTGATATGATGGAAAATATTATTTTATTGAAGAATGTGTGATTGAAAATGAGTAAAAAAATGAAAACGAAAAAAATAATGTGACTCGAACAGGGGCATAATAAAACTGGTTCATAATCATCTTGTTAATAGAAATCATTCAAAACTTGAGTACTATAGGCCTTGTTTGAGCCACCTTTTTTGTAGAATGAGAATGAAAAATATAGTTGTTATTGGGGCCTACACAAGAGATAGAAAATTTGAATTTAAATGTTGATGTAATGGATAACAGTCATATTTTTCATTGGACATTGCTACACTTACAGACATTTTTTTTACAGACACCTTACATATACACACATGGGAAGGGCGGGAAAAAATTCAAACAATTTTTTAATCAGTGGGATCGGCTCGGGACCCACCTCATTGTGAGGGTCGGTAACACATCTGTGAACCGACCCTCTGTAAGAGCAGAATAATTCTTTTTCATTTTAATGAGAAAATAAGGTGGCCCAAACGGGGGCTATATATATCATTTTGATCATAATTTTGACAAACTAGCGTTGAGATTGTAGATCAAAACGTATTCTTGGTATTGCAAGACTCTTCTGGTGATTTTTATTATTGTTTTGAGTATCAACTTGAATCATCGATGTCCACTCAACTATATTTGTCACGGTAAGAGTAATAATTCTGTTTTTTTCATGGTTATCGTCATTAGTTATTAGTATCATTACTAGAAAATACAGTTCTATCTATTGTAGCTCATGCTAATTGATTTATGTCATCTCAAGCTGATGAAAAGACTCATCAGTTGTCCTATTTGCAAAAGCACCTGGGCAATATTGTGTAGAAACTGTAGAATAGCATAAGACTCTATGTTGTGTAAATCTCTTGCTTGCCTTTATGAATTTATCAATTAGGAGTTGTCACTGATTTTGCATTTGTTATGCTGTAATTAGTTTTGAAAATGCACTCCTGCATCTTTCATCGATTTTATTGTAAAGCTACTCTTTGCAATATTCTCACTTCAAAATCGGGTCACACTGAAATGCTAATATATCTCGTGTTGTATCGATCGGTAAACCGTAAACTTGAGCACATCTTGAATTTCTAATTTACTTCGGGGAAAGGGAGCCCTTTGAGTCAAAATGCTCCTTGTTCTTGACATGCTTGTTGTTCGTGTTCATGCATCCCAAGTTCTCGCTTGTCTTATCAAAATTTAGCCTTTGCACTGCAACATATTTTCAAGAGAATTTCTTCAAAAAAAAAAACATAGGCGAAATCTGGACAATTTGTGCAAAGCCCTTCAACCTTTATCAAGTGGATCTCTAAGTTTCAAATGTAAGGCGATCATTTTATCTTAAAGGCTCCAATGTAAAGTTTACTAGTGAGCACGATGTCACGACCCGCTCGTTTCATAACAAATATGGCGGAATTATCTAGAACAACAGCATCTTGAGGCGAATCCAAAATGTTCTAGACAATAATGGTACATGAAACTGCCTAGAAGGGAATAGAGAAATCTAGAGAATTGGCAAGTCCAATACTTGTGGATTATTCTAGATAATCCTAGATAATTCTTAGTAAATATTTTATTATGGATGTTTGTAGAGAATTCTAGAGATGGATTGTAGACCGTTGGATCAAATTGATCCTAACCATCCATTAGGAACAACTTTGCCTATAAATAACTTAGTAGGTTCATTCATTTGCTCCAAGAGAGATAAAAGTTGTAAAGTGTTAAGCATTGTAAAGTTTATTTGTTCAATACAAAGCTTTCTTCATAAACACTTGTGTTCCTCCTTTGAATTCTAAAGTGTTCTACTCAGTGCCGTTCTAAGACCTCAACGCTAGAGTGGGAGGCTGACTTAGTGTAAAAACCGCAGGGGCGGAAGTTGGAGACACTAAGTGCCGCACGGTGCTTGGAGAAAACAACAAGTCCGTGACAACATGCTAACATAATATTTAGACAAAAACCATCATTAGGGGCAAGATGGAGTAATTAATGAAATATTGAGGATAAGAATCCAATGAAAAAATTAAGAACATAATTTTAGCAGTGGCAACAAACAGGAGCTGAGCTGGGTCGGCCCAAGTACCCACGATCTCGACTCGTCACTGTGCTTGGTTCGTGCTCAGGGCCTAGCAGACTAAGTCGCGAGCTCATGAGTCGAGCCCACGGCTCAATTTTTTTTTTTTTTTTTTT